TATGTATCACATATATAATTTTCTTCTAGTTTAGGAAAAAGCAAGCTGACAGCCTTTATTCTTGTCCAGATGCATTTAAAACATTTAAAACAGACAGTTAAAAAAACATTTAAAACAGCATTTAAAACATTTAACTACTCTAAATACCACAGCAGAAACGTCAGTAGAAACACTTCCATACAAAAGTTTTGTCATAGATTTTTGACTTACTTTGTTTTAGCAATATGTAGATAAGAATGTGAGAATGACAGGGTGCCCACTCTGCTCTGCAGGCAAATCATCACAAGCAACAGTCTTTTCCTGAAGAAATGCGTTTAACAACTGAATAAATCAAGCAGCCAAATCGTAACAAATTAGAAGCATGACTTCAGCTTTACACATGTAAAGCTGAGTCTGAGGCAACTGCCTAAGGCCAGCAAGTTTTTGTGACATAACTGGGACATAACTCTTGTGTCTACAGTCATAATTGCAATAACCAAATGAATGAATAAATAAATAAATAAAATGCCCTTCCTCTAAGAATTTCACCAACTGACATTACGTAGTTATTTTTCTACATCTGTGATACTATAAAATATGTAAACAAAAAATATTGAGAGCAGGAAGGTCTTATGGAAAACATCTGTGAAGGGCATAATATTGCTATAATTTCATTAGTTCTGATTGATAACTGGGAAAAAATATTTCAGAACTAAGCTCAGAAACTTAAGCATACCTTACTCTAACGCATTTTGGTAGCACTAGATTCTCACTACATTATTGACTCTATCCTTGTCAATTCTAACACAGAGGGCAGAGACTAAGCTTCCATTTTGTTCTGTTGGTTGTTTCTATTCCCATCTATTCTACAGATCAATTAACACAAAATTGGCTGCTCTGTCCTCCTCTCTAACAGAGTTTTCCCAGTTCTCTCTGGAGGAGCATCTTTTCCCCATCTCTGCTGCTATCCATGTGACAAGCTTCCCATGGGCCTCTGTTGGCTCCCACAGTTTATGCCCCAAATATGTGCAATTCCAGGGAATAAGTGCCTGATTTGGACTATGGAACATATCACCTTGACTGTGATCATGCAGCAGTGTGGGTCAACCAGGAGATCAGGCCCAGGCAGTGTGGGTTTATGAAAGGCAGGTCCTCCTTGACCAACATTATTTCCCTCTACAACCAAGTGATCCTTCTGGTGGATGAGGGAAGACTATGGATGTAATCGACCTAGACTTCAACAAAACCTTTGATGCTGTCCCTCACAGTATTTTCCTAGAGAAGCTGGCAGCCCATAGCCTGGACAGGCGTACTCTTGCTGTGTAAAAAACTGGCTGGATGGCCAGGCCCAGAGAGTTGGTGGTGAATGGAGTGAAATCCAATTGGCGATTGGTCACAAGTGGTGTTCCCCAGGAGTCTGTATTGGGGCTGTCCTGTTCAGTATCCTCACTGATGACTTTGACCTTACCTTTAATGCTTGCAATGACACCACGCTGGGAGGAATTGTTGATCTGCCTGGGGGTAGGAAGGCCCTTCAGAGGGATCTGGATATGCTGGCTGGCTGGGCTGAGGCTAACTGTGCTTTAACAAGACCAAGTGCCAGGTCCTGCATTTTGGCTACAAAAATCCCATGCATCACTAAAGGCTAGGGGCAGAATGGCTGAAAATCTGTATAGAGAGAAAGGATCTTGGGATGTTAATTGACAGCTGGCTGAACAGGAGCTAGCAGTGTTCCCAGATGGCCAAGAAAGCCAATCGCATCTTGGCTTGCATCAGAAATAGCATACTCAGAATGAGCAAGAAAGTGATTGTCCCCTGTATTGTACCATCTGTCTCTACACTCCTTTTAATCCAGATCTGTAAAGTCTCAGTCAGCTCCTTACTCATACCCATGTAGATCTTTTACTAGCAAACAATATTTTTTTGTATTTCATATTATTTTGATCAGATAGGGGCAGATACTACATTTTTGAAATATATACATATTGTAATACCTATGTAACTATGTATCTCAAAAAATCATGAATCTTTGCTCTACGAGGAGTATTTTCTGTCACAATGTTTGAGATGTTTCTAAGAAAATTCTGCTAAGAATCACGGGCTGCACACCTAATTTTTCACTTGTGTTCAAAAGATAACTGAAGTTCTGGTCTGATCTTGATGAATTCTGATGAATTGCATTGCAGTTTGAGAAACCAGTTTTGAAATATCATGCTGTGTTTCCATAGTAGTGAACTCAAATTACAAAAGCAACTCAGAAGGCCAGGTCCTCCACAGTGCTCATTTTGATGCATTAAAAAAAGAAAATATTCACATCTATTTGTGTCATCTCCACATAGAACTAGCGAAACTTCACTTCAAATTTCTTTAATACAACTATTTCAAATAATAAAAAAAGATCTCTTTTATATATTCTAAGTAGGGATGAGAAAGATTTTCAAAACCATTTCCCAAAGTGCCATATTAGAGATTACATTTTTAAAATATACTAAATTTTGTTTGCTCTAACGTGGATTTTTAGGCAACCATCACACACTTCTGTTACATTAAAAGACCTATGTTGAAAACATTTCCATGTAATCATTATTTATTATTAAAAATATCTAGTGAAAAATTCAGTAAAACTATATCTTTGAATTACCGTAGTCAAGAAGAGAGGTCAAAAAGAGAGCTATTTTGGAACAAACACTTACTTGAGTGGTGACGATCTGCAAACAGTTGAAAATTGCACCAGACCTCCTCTGCCATAAAAAGACAGTTACATTTTTCATGTAGAAATGGCAGGCAATCATTTCTATGTGCACCCCAAGATCAAAATTCATTTTAAATTTTGTCACCATTTTTGAATATGCTTTGAACAGTGGAACGCACATATTTACAAGAACATACCACACACAACTGTACAGGTTAGGGGCTGACCTGGTGGATAATAGGCTGGCCATGAGACAGCAGTACATCCTTGGGGGGGTGCATTAAAAATAGCGTGATAGTGATATAGTCAAGGGTGGTGATCCTCCCCTTTTACTCTGCTTGGGTGGGGTCACATCCAGAGTACAGCATCCACATCTGGGCTCTTCAGTTCAAAAAACACAGGGAACTGATAGAGAGAGTCCAGTGGTGAGGCACAAAGATGATTAGGGTCCTGGAGCATCTGCCTTATGTGAAGAGGCAAAGAGACCTGAGACTGTTCAGCCTTGAGAAAACTTGGGAGGATGGAACTTATCAATGATTACAAATATTTAAAAGTTGGGAACAAAGTAGATGGCCGCAGGCTCTTTTTGGTGGTGGCCACTGACGGTACAAGGGCAATGGGCACAAACTGGTAAACAGGAAGTTTCACACAAACATGAGGAAAAAGTTCCAGGGTTACAGAGCACTGGAACAAGCTATCTGGAGAGGTTGCAGTGTTTGTTTCTCTAGAGATATTCAAAATCCATTCCTGTGTAACCTACTCCAGGGAAACTGGTTCAGCAGAAAGGTTGGAGTAGATGATCTCTACAGGTCCCTTCCAACCCATTCAATTCTGCTATAATGCACAGCAACATAAATATCTTCTTTCTTGACTCAATGTTAACAGAATTTACCTTTTTATTTGTCAAGTATTAACACAATTATGACAGACTTGAGCTGCTTTTACTCCAAATCTACCAGTAAAATGGGTCAGGAAATTCATTTTACATGCGTTTATTGCTAATTTTCAGAATATTTCAATATTCTTACAGTATTTTCCTAAAACAAAACTAAATTGAAGTGTAAGAAATGAAAACTTCTTGCTGTACCACTTGCCTCCTCTATCCACACCAAAAAGGTAGTCTTTCTTCCTTATCTTCCACACAAAAAATATTGAACCTACATTCTATATATTGTATAGAAAGTGATCACGTTATATAAACAGAAAGGCAACTTAAAACATTTGTGAACTTTAAGACTTACTAAATTAACGTGAAGTAGCTTAGGAGATATTTCATCTATTAAAATGCAGTACCCTGCAAAAGCATCAATTACAGGTGCATAAAGAAGTTCAAATTTTAAGTATGCTTTGTGTTTACTTCTTGACTTTCCTGAGACACTAATTCTTCAAGAAATAATTTGTGGAGCAAAATCTTCCATCTTTACTACAGCCAACAGTTACTTACAATGTGACAAAGGAAATATGAAATTACTCAACAGTGTAAAATACCTTGATTCATGTACAGAAACATACATACTAAATGAAGTGTAAATTAGCTTTATTCTTTTTTATTCAGCATAGTTAGCATTTTAGGAATAACAATATATATATTTCAAACACTAAGAAGGTAATTTCCCTTCGTTTCCATCTTCTGGATGGTTTTTATGCCCAAACAGCATAGTATACCATAAGAACAATGATGATTTCTTAGACACCATTCTAGCATTCTCTTGTAAACCCATCTGCTGTGAGTGTCCCTCATCTTAACCTTCTGTTTAAACCAGAAACTTCAGCTTCACTTTGTCAAAAGAGAAGTACCTCAGGACTCGAAGATCACACACACATACTGCACATCACACACATACAAGTAGTTTAACTTAGCCTCAAAAGATGTAATACAAATAGGTCTAAAATCTTCAGGAGCACAGTCTGTTTGAAAGCACTGGTAAGCCTGTTGCTTCTGTTCAATACAACTGTACACTCATACTGTGATAAAAAAAGTAAAACAATTATTTTCCAAACTCAAACTACTAAAAAATACTGTCAAACACTCTATTTAAACTACACTTTTTGGGCATGTGTTTATTTTTCATGATAATATTCATACATAACCAACTTTTGTTTTTGTAAACACCATAGGGAATTAAAAACATTGATTAAAAGGTAGCCAAATCTAACTTATAATTTTAAATCAATGATATAGTACTTAAAAAAATAATTACTTATGCTATATGCACGCATACAGATACATATTTATGTTTATATAATGTATACAAACAGACACCTTTTATATATGCATGTAAGCAAATGCATCTCTGCAGCAGCCAGGTAGAGTATTAGAAGAAACAAGTTTTTTTTTTTTTTTTTTAATCAATGTTTAATACACAACCAAGATACACTATACATTCACAACAAAATCGTATCTGTACAACATGAAACTTTTATCAGGCTCTTCCACACTGCTAATATTTTTCTTAATTCTCTTACGGAAATTGAGAAATAAAATTACTTTAGAAGTTTACACAGCATTTAACATAGTGGTCATAAGTAACAGAAAAAAAATGAAATACTGACACTAATTTAAGCAAGTAGAAGGTTGAGGATCAATATTTATAAAATCCCTTAAGACTGGCAGTAAGATTTTCAACTTATCTTAAAATAGCTATTAGGTTACAAATAGTTTACTTCCTCTTTATGATTTAGGTACATTCAACTGAAAAAAAAAAAAAAAAAAAAAAAAAAAAAGCAAAAAAGCAATCACCACCACAAAATAATTAAAAAAAAAAAATACACCAACAGCAGCCCTGCCCATGTGCGCAGAGATATATTCTACTATCATCACGGTGCCAAAAAGTCCTGTAAAACACTTTTCAAGAGCCAAGAGTGAAATGAAATTCAAATTATGTACATTGTATATATAAAGTTTCATAATAAAAATAAACATCCTTCTGTTTCAAAAACCTGTTAAGAGACAAATCACTGTCAAAAGAAAGGCACTAGGCAAACACGATATACCCTGGTACAGAATCTGTATTCACCATAATTTACATGTTGCACTGAAATAGTAACAGCATATGCACATGCTCTTTCCCTTAAAACACAGCATTAGTTTATAGACCTGTGCAAGATAATACAAACCCTGCTTTCAGAGAAGATGTACTGAGTTTCACTTCTCAGACAGCTCACAGAACTGAAACAATTTACTTGATCACAACTGACAGAAGTAGAAATGAACCCAGAGTTTCCCTTGAAATTAAGTACCCTCACACCACAAAATCTTTATCTCAGAGACCATAAGCATTTTCCTTCTAGAAATGCTCCAGCAGTAACTTCAGGTATCTCTGTATGTGCAGAAGAACATCGAAGAGTGACCAACTTAACCTTCCCATTCTGTTTATTCTGCAGCTTGCATAAAGTTGGTACATGATTTACTTTAAGTATTATCACATAAAAAAGACGAGTCAACTGCAATTCTTCGGAGTAAATACATTAAAAGTAATCATTTACTATTTTTTTTTTAACAAATTAGGCAAAAAAAAAAAAAGAAAGAAAGAAAAGTAGGGGAGTGAGGCTGAAGTGATACAGATATTCCTTAATCCCTTTTCAGATCTGAAACTCATTATAGAGCTTTCTCTTCCACCTAATTTTGATTGGATTTTTTTTCTTATTAAAGTTCGGAACAATTACCTTCTAAATACATCCTCCTTTTCCCCTGTGCCTAGTAACTGGGTTCTTATATTTAAGAATTTCATTTCTTTGCATCTGCATAAAACTTTTCCCACAGAAATATTTTAGCCATTTTTCCAAAAATGACTACGATTGCAGTAGTAACCTACCAGCAGAATTAGATTTCTATTGTTCCAATACTTGCAGTGATTTTTGCTCCAAGCACAGAAAAAATATTGGCTAGGCAGGTGGGGTAGTTCCAGTATCTGCTATTCCATGAGACCTCTTCAAATTCAGTTCTACTCTTGGACATACATTTTTTCCAGGTGGCACATTTAGACTTGAAAACATATTAAGCACATAAAAATACAGTAAGTGCTCAGTAGTGATAAGTTTCTAAGTACTCCTTTATATCATACTTTGAGAAATTCTTACATTCTTCTAAAGATCACATTAGACACCTGTGCATCATGGCCCATATCACTTCACATCAAGAGCTAAATGATGTCTTTGCAGCAACCACAGAAGTTTTTCTAAGGAAGATACACTATGCTGTTACCATAAATGATATTTTAAACAAAAACAGATTATTGCAGTTGTAAAACACTGCACAAAAATTTCAAATGCTTCCATAAACTGCAACAAAAGAAACAACTTTTACAGACATGAATAAAAACTGTCACTGGGAAAAAAGATGACCAGTTCTCATGACTAGTAAACAGTGCAGGCAACTACAGTGACAACGGATGGCAAAGTTTAAGTAGAGAAAGAGATCTGTCCTTACAGGTCTGAATTCAGAAGAATTTTTAAATAATACATTCAATAGAGATATACAGTGCAGTTAGTCAGCCCTTCAACTATATGGGCTCTTTGAACTGCAAAGCTTAAAGGTATCAAATTATAAAAACAAATTATGTATAGTTATATCAGAGAGTTACAGGAAAGATGTATCAACAATTTTCCTTAATAAGCAGAGAGCAGTTCACTTGAAAGTGGTAAACTCTTAACAAGTGCTTTAAATGTCTCAGACACTATTTCATAACAGGGTCATAGCTGTATCTTCTTTAGCTTATCCACTTGAGTGCAATTGAAACAAAACAAGCAAAGGTTTCTGTTAGAAACACTCTGAAGTTTGCAGAGATGCAGCAGGAAAATGCAAAGAATTAATACTAGTAAGACTGTAGTAACTCCAGAAGTGCACTTCCAAATGTCAAGTCATTTATCTGTAACCCAATTTCCACAGTTTTTCTTGAAAAAAGCTGAGATGGTTGTGCAATACCTCAAACTTTTAATAATTGCAGACAAGTGACGAGAATTTGCAAGTAAGTGTAGATACATAAACATTTTTTTCATACCAGAAGGACTCTAGAAAATATTGTACAAGAGCTGCTGCAAAAGTAATGTCTCCTATTACGTTGGCTCTCAATGTCAGAGGCGGATGTTGGTATTATGGCAGTAGAGGTTGAGCCTTCCTGTCAACAGCCCATTCTATTCTGTTGCCACACGACAGATGGCAGCAGAGGGGCAGTCCAACAGAATGGCACCTGACACAGAAATATGTATGAAGCAAAGGTGTGTCATTGAGTTCCTCCAGGAAGAAATATGGCAACCACTGACAAGCATCAATGCTTGCTGAACATCCGTGGAGACCAAACAGTGGATGTGTGCAGAGTGAGGCATTTCAGCAGAGGCAACAGCAGGTCATCTCTACTGCTGCAGATTTTTATGACGTGGCATGCAGGTTCCTGTTCATCACTGGCCAAAATGCATAGCTGATAGTGGTGACAATGCTGAAAAGTGGTCTTTTTAGCTGAGAATTTACTCTGATAAATACTGCGCTCTTTGCATCTGTTGTACTGTCCATGGAAACAAATAAGAGACATTACTTTCAGAACAACCCACACAGTAACTTATGTTTATTTGGAATGACTCAAGTTTTTGGAAAGTATACTTTTTTCTTTTTTTGTTTGTCATCTTCTTTCTTAACCACAAGTCCCCACATCCACCTCACAACTTCATGGACAGAGCACTACAATTAACCAAGGAAGAAGTATGAATAATTACAATAAACCCTGTTGAAATTGAGAGGATTTTAGTGGTTACAACAGTTACAACATATTAACTACAAAGCAAGATCAGTTGTTTTTTAAAACCACTTTGTTACAGATTAAACACTTGACATATACTGCAATAATTTAATGTCTACTGTTTTCCTGTAAAGTTGTATGAAAAAGTCCATGTCCCCTTCCTGCAAAAAACTCCCAGAAATGGATTATTGAGGAGACATATCCATGCAATTTGACATTTTCAAGCTTCAGTAAGAAAAACAAATAGTAGTCACTACACTGGAATGGTGAGACTCTCAGATCTAAAAAGAACTAATTTCCAGGCACACCATATTGTTAAAAGAAGTGTTGAGCAGCTTACTTGAACACTAACATGACCTTAGTATCTATTGTTCTGGATCTTGGAAATACATGAAAATAGAAATCTGATTTCAAGTAAAAGCGATGAGTAGTTGATGTCACTGCTACTAGGTTACATTGCTCCAAAAATTATAAATGAAAAAGCAGAATTTAAGATTATTATTTATTGTATGACTAGCGAAATATTAGCTTTAGAATCTTTGATGTTTTTAAAAACTAAATCTGTGTCTCCAGTCAACAAACAATGTATAACTATAGTTGGTTTTTTTTTCCCCCCTATATTTTTAGAATTTTTTTCCCGCTCTCAAATTTCAGGATTTTTTTGTTGTTATGTTTTCTAGTTGTTGGATTTTTTTTTTAAAATAAAATTCAGACACAGAAAAACTATGTAAACTTGTCAGCATTCCAGTAACGTGCAAAAGTATGCAGCATGTACTGAACAGAACAAATAAGAGTAAACTAGAAATATTTCAGTAGTTCTTTGGAACTCAATCTTTCAGAGATATATATTTAAAAATGAAATAAACAAAAACTCACCAATGTTGCACACATACAATGAGACATACATACAGTGTTCTTACCACAAGATAATCATATAATCAAGAACTCCCAATGTGCAAAGCATAAAAACAGTAGCTGCAGTTTATGCACGCTACTGACATGCATCCTGCAAAAAGCAAGCTATCAAGATCAAATTTAGCTTAAAGGATCACTTAGATTAGAAACAGAAGTACATGAATAAAGTATACAAGTATCTGTCAAATTTTTGTACTACTTCAGTCATGTAGTTATCCCATGCAGATGTTCTTGAAGCTTAGCATGCAAATTACTAATTAAAATAAAGCATTCTTGAACTACAGTAATGAATGAGATGAAAATATTCTCACACTTTTTACTCTTCAAAATTTAGTAGTAGTGCATTTACATTAATGCGATATAATGATTTAAACATACCGATAATAAAGGCATTTCATAACAGAGTCTTCAGCTCTCAATTTCTTTCTTACTGTATTCAATATGCTAAGAAACAACTGCAGTAGAAATAGCTCACATAAGCCACTGCTCCTTTTCTTTTCTGTACTTCTCAGACCACTTCTGAGTGAGCTCTAGATAAACATTTGGTTTATGGGGCTTATAATCAAGGTAAACTATTTGTCCAGTCTTTTTGGGGACAGCTTTTTCAATCTGAGTACCCTCGTGCCATTCATTGAAAGATGTAATGGAAATAATTTCTGGTCTCACCAAAAGGGCTGCATTAAAGGCAGTCTCATAGTATTTTCCATTGACACGATTACGTGTGTTGTGGTTGTTCCATGGTCGGATACTTGTGTCGATATATCCTGGTCCCACACTTGGAATAAACATTAAGTTGTTGCTGTCACAAAAGGCTTTTAAACTTGCCCAATTATGATGAGATGAGCCATAAGAGAACCCATTTGTAGCAAAGTATGTGTACATTCCATCAAAGCCACTTCTGTGAATATCATGCTTATGCCTTTCTTCTACAAGAAGAGCAATGAATAACGCATCGTATGGAGTATTTCGAATAGTCTGGGATCCAGATACAGTTAACAGATTCGCCCATATTTCGGGAATTGTTACATAAGAATCATAAACATAAAACATGGGAAGAGATCTGCCTGTGCTGGTCTTATGCCTGTAAAAGGCTGGGTGGGCTCCGTATCTACAAAGCAAACAAGTATCATTAAAACCAAATTTACCATTTTGAAAACATTGACTTACAAATTGCATTGAAGATCTCTTTTTCGAAAAAATAAATAACTAAATAAAACAGTGCAGGTGCTTCAAAACATAGAAATGCATATCCATTTTCAATCCAGTATCTCAGTATCTGTTAAAGGATTGAATAATGAATCTGAAAAGATCACTATTTCTACCAATCAGTATTTGTGTTAAACTGCACTATAGGTATTAGTCTTCTCTGAAAGGCAATTCTCTAAACAAGACTGTAAGTAGCACTGATGAACAAAACAATTAGTAGATGTACAAAATTTGTCAAGCTGAATTAAAATCCTTAGAGGTCAACACGTTATGGCTTGCTGCTTATTTGTCACTCTAAAAATGCATGTCTAATTCATATAGTTGTTGCATACTTAATACTTCAACTGCTTTCATCTGAAGCACTCTGTCTCACTCATGTTGCAAATGAATATTGAAAGCAACATACATTTGAATGTTTACACACAGTTCATGCTTCAATATTTAAAAAATAGACTTCTGAGTTTAAGTACCACCAAAATATGAACTATGCTTCCTGAAGTTTTCTTCAGTCTCAGTACGTATTTTGAATATATTCTTCCAGGCTCTAGACAGTATACAGAACTTCACTGAACAAACATTAAGAATACACAAAAGGAACGTTTTGAAAACACTCACTTGTCAATGATGTATTTGACATTGTGGTACATACTGCGATCATCTCTATCTTTGTAGGGCTCAATATGAAAAGTGACCTGAAAAACAAAAAATAGTGAAGCAGCACAAACAATATTTTATTGAATATTTGGGCATTCTATGTTACGTGAAGCAAGTAGTGGTCATATTAACATTTTCTGTTAATCCTGATGTAAATCAATTTTAAGATTAGTAGTTTCAGATCCAGGAAAGTCTAGCAATAAGAGTAAATATTTCATTTTTTTCATTAGTACTAAACATTGCTTTTGTTTTCCCTCGGCAATAGAGTACAGTAAGCACACTTCACAGAACTTCACAACTACAGCAGAAAGTAACAACTGAAATAAAAGATTATTTATTTGAATGTCAAATAACTGGTTAAGCAGTGAATTTCCACATAACATGTTCAAATTACTATTGATAATAAGAACAGAACATGTTCAAATTACTATTGATAATAAGAACAGTTCCCACTGTCAAACTAGATTTTAAGACAGTATATGAAAATTTTAATTTAAAATTTTATGGAGTTATCAACACTATAACTGCTGATATGCTTTTATCCCTGTAACTAAGTCTAATCTGAATCTCTGCTGCTCTAAATTCAAGCTTGGGGCTTATGACATTATTTATCCTGCGTTTGTGAAATTACATCAATGCAAAAATCTTGTTTCCAGCTATGCAATTCAAGGGAGGAGTACATTACATTAATCAAAGCGACTAGCTTTTCAGAAGCAACTTCAGAGTACAAAGCATTTAATGAAGCATTCAACTACTCTGCAACAGTAGCAAATTTAATTACAGTACCAGAGTATATAAAAATACAGTATTACACTAAACTACAAGAATTAACAAGATGGGTTGAAGAGTGCTTTAATATATTTTATTTTCATCTATCAAAAATAAGCAAATCAAAGGGACAAATTTTAGCAGATATGTATGTTTTATTTTTTATAAAACAACATTTTTTTCTCTGCTGTTTTTAGTCTACAGACATTACTTAACTAAATAACCATTTACTTGTGCAAGAATATTTTTAAAAATTTCTGAAAGTAGAATTTAGGGATAGTATCTTTACTTAATATCTGCATTCCAATAACTAATCCAAACAGTAACAGCAGCTCCATCCACAATGCTATTATTACCATAATATTTAAGCATTTTCCTTGGTAGCTTATTTGAATTTTGCCTTGCTCTTTTGAGATGTGAGTGTTAACGAGTTCTCTTAGGTGAGATCAAGCTCCATAAAATGATCTGAAAATTTCTAGCGGAAGATAGTTTTCTTTAAAAATAGTAAATTATTAAAAAGAAAATGGAAAAAAAAAAAAAAGAAAGACTGCAACGTGTCACAGTGAAATTCTCATTGCGACTTTGAAAATTACTTATGTATCTCATTTAATTTTCCTACTAAGAATAAACAGCAGTGCATGTTCTCTTTATTCCCTCAACCCTTTCCCCTCTCTACCTGCCCAAGGTAAAATGCAGGTTTTACTCTAAATATAAACATAGTACAATGCAAGAGCACATCTACTTTTGGAACTCCCAAAATTGCAGTAAAAGAGCACACAGACAGAAGCTACAATTACCTTACAAACTTTCTTTGCTCAACATCACGGGTGAAATGTAAAAAACTTTTACCACGATTTACTTTCCAATGCAGTTTTACTTTATCAATCACATAAATGTTTTACCTTTAGATTGTATTTGCTTGCATAATCCAAAATAATAGGCACCAAATCATCAGTTGGTTCTCCGTTTTCATCAGCCATACCTGGTGGGTACCACGAAAGTGCTATTACACCTGAAAATATAAAGCACAGCTTTCAAATTGTATATTTAAAGCGTAGCATGCAGTTTGTCATGAGTTATAATTATTGTTTGATGTAAAATCTATATACTGCAAACAAGAATTTCAAATTACTTTTTAATCAATTGTGAAATCTCAGCACTCTCTCTTTCTTTACTGCTGAAAGAAATCAGAGGTAAAAGCATCTGTCAGAACAAGGGAACACATTTGTACCCAATGCCCCTAACATCCATAGACGTTGCCCTCCACTTTCTAGCACAGCATCATAATCTCCAAGTTTTATTAAGAGATGTTGGAAAAGGTTCCTGTGGTGTTATAGCTGTGCCACAGTACACTAGAGAATACCAAGATGCACAGAGGGAGAGAATACTCCAGAGATGAGGGCTACACAATGTCAAAAAGATTCTTATGAAGACTTATCCCCTACAACACTTCTGCATTATACCTCAGGCTCTATTACAAAATAATCATTTCATACCGGAAGCAGTGACTATAATCCTGCTCCTCCTTCTAGACACAAGCAGTCCCTATTACAACAAAAATGCAATGCTCCTAGACTGTAATTTTCCTTAATGCTTTCCTCAAAAACAAAAGATGACATACCTCATCAGAAAGACTCAAAACCTCTCTCTCTAAAATAAAATGCTGTCAGATTAAAAAACAAAGCAAGACTGCTTAGATATACAGCTGGAAATAATGTAATATATCAATAAGACAGACAAATACATATGATACTGATTTAAAAATATTTTCCTAATGATACTAAATTAAACATGTGGAACAGTAAGTCAATGTGGATCTTTTTAACTATCTAAAGATTGAAGTATCTAAGTCAGTTTACAGGCACAAAAATTTAGAGCATGTACTTCCCTTTGACTTTACTAATACTGTAACTTTCCTGACAAACGACTTCAGAATAAAGTCCAAAATTATGAATAAGAAAACATCAATTAGAATGAAGATGCTACCAGCTGCTAATGTCAAAAACAGAAATTTCATCTCAGTATACAAAGGAGAGGTTAATCCAACTACTCACAGCATATTCTCTCAAAATTTTATAAAAAAAAAAATCATAAACAACAGACTATCAAGAGCGACAGTCAGTTCAAGGGCAAGAAAAATGCAATAGTTTACTGCATTTTATCACCCTATCTTTTATTTAACACAAGAGGAATGGACAAAATTCAAAAGACATTATGAACAAAAAGCACAACAATAATGCAAACATCATACATTTTTCCAAAATATCTTGCATACAATGTCTGTCACGAGCCTCTTCTATCACATTAAGAAACAAGGAGGAGTTCAAGAGATAAAATTTTTCAAGGAAGCTAACGCATCTGTCTTTCTTTGAGATTTTTTTTTCCTTTTTTTTTTTTTTTTTTAAATAGGTGTAAGTTACTCTGAAAGTAATGTCTCCTATTTATTTCCATGGAAACTAAAATGGAGCTATTTTCCTCTTTGTATCTATTTGATAGAACAAATTCTCAGCTACTAAACACTCTTTTTTTGACACAGTGACCATGATTAGCAATGTATTTATGCCAGCAATGAAAAAGAGCCTGAGTGCAGCACTCGTAAAAACTGTCATGAGTGGAGATGACCCATGGCAGCCACCACTGAAATGCAGCACCTACCACCTCACTGTGCTCACATCCACTGTTTGCTCTCCATAACTGCTCATTAAACATCAGCGAATGTCAGTGGGCGTCATTTTTTAAAGCAGGGAAGAAGTCAATGCCACACCTTTGCTCCTCCAAGTCAGGCATCATTTTCTCAGTCTGTCCCTCTGCTGCCATGTGCCACACAGTAAGACAATGTAACAGAATATTGGTGGAAGTTCAACCTCTACTTGAGGTTCAACCATACCATTGTCATTAACTTCTGACATCGTTGGTCAATAGAATAAAATCAATGGCATAACTTTTAGGGCAGCCCTTGTCTCAAGGCAGTCAGTATATGTACCATATAAACTTTTCATTCTTTGAACGTACGTGGCAATTGTTCTTGGAAATTAACTCACCATCATTGCCCCAAGTGACAGACAAAGTTTTAAAGATATTCCTGTGATAACAACATCCTCATGCATCCTTTGAACAGCATTTGGAATCAAGCTCTTCTTCAAAAATTAAAACAGTATGGAAGGCCCATAAACTTTTCTCAGCATAACTAAGAGCATCGGAAACTCACAGAAACTAAAAGCATTTTTTTCTTACTACTGATCAAATCATCACTTGCGTGAAGACAAAAGAAATGGAACTGCATGCAAATTTGGCTGTCAACAAATATAGATCAGACCTCTGTTTTTAATCTAGGCTTTCCCAATGTAATCAAGGCCTCCACTAATTGAGGAATAAAAGAAAGAAAGATCCTCTTTTCCAAGTGCAGTTCAACCAAGATTAAAATACACAGCATGAATTTATTTCTGAGATTACTTCTCTCCTTGTCTGCTTGACTACTCAAGAATCCTAGACAGTTTACTTAGATGATATAGCTAACTTTTAGATGAGTGACATGAGTTAAAATGGGTGTCACCATAGATATTAAATCTGAGGGTAGTTTACCGGAAAAAAGACTAGTAATTGCTTGACAATAGTTGTGGATGTAATTTACATTAACATTTTATATACCAGAGTGAGTTTTTCATTGAGAAAAATATGAGCATTAATACTATCTAATTTATAACATTTTTTCCCCCAACACTATTCAAAGGAGAAGTGACATTTCAATTCTATGAATTACTGAAGTCTGCTATCAGATATTCTATTGAAATACACTAAAAATCAACTCCCTTTTACCCCTCAGGAAACACAACTCATCTGCCTCTGAAGTTGTGCACCAGCAGAATAAAATAAGAGGCATCACTTTCAGAGCAGCCCTCATATTTTCTGTTACATATTATAAGAGAAAAGGATCACTTCAGGAGACTGAGAAGGGACCGATTTAACCAAAGATCAGCGTAACATCATAAAAACAGACAAATGAAGGACTTCAAACCATACTGCAATAAAAACAGGGCAGTGCAAAATATGAAGTTTCATCAAGCAACCTGAAGAATAACAGATGGATACAACACATTCTGAAAATAAGAACACCACATGAAAGCACTGAATAAGACTCCTGCAGTTTCAACCTCTTATATGCCTTTGAGAATCACACAATATTGGCTGAGAGAACCATTTACATTTTTTTTTTCCCACCTCTTGGAAGATTCTTGACAAAGACTCTCAAAAGGTAAGAAAATATATTATTTGATAAATGTAAAACACAGCAAGGCTAGGATTAGAAACTAGCTATAATTGCAAAAGAAGAAACTATAAACAGTAACTTGAGTACACAAAAAATGAATACAGTATTAATCATACAAGAAAAAGATGCAATATTTGAGTAATAACCTGAGAAAAAGTAAATTATGGTGACCAAATCTAGACTGAAAAAAAAACAATTTCAAATATAATTAAATCCAAGAGTCAGAATAACAACCAAAAAAACTGAACTTTTGATAAATACTAGTTTAAAAAAAAATAATCAAACAGCACATTACAAGAAGCACGTATGACCTGTTAATGTTGGAAAAGTTAAATGGAAAGGTAATTTAAGGCCATTAAAAAAAAAACAAAAAAAACCAACACCTTTCTCAGTAAAGCATTTTTCTTAGTATTTTGCATTTTTTCTACTACCAGTTCTGCTTCATCAGCATTTTTATTTAGAGGATGAGAAATGTCAAATTATTCTAAAATTACACACCTGCTCCCTGCTTTCATCACACTACCACGCATTATTGTCTGATTTGGATACGACTAAAAAAGTGCTTTGTGACAACTAATATCAGATTTTTCTGCATCTGTTTTCCCTCTGCTGCTGCTGTTCTTATTGTTAATGAAGTAATTCTATTATTGAAAATAGTAAGAAAACTCCTACTTTTGTATTAATTATAGTTGAAAATACAGGTTAGAATAAAAAGTAAAAAACAAAATAAACAAGAATTAAATATTACAGAACCAAACACTACCACTTGGAATATAACAATTATACAATTCTTAGTGTCTATGTCAATGAAACCAATTCAATTCAGCACAATTAGTACTGTGAATATTCTATAAGCTCTGATCATACTGTTTCAATACACTTACATAAGCTGTTCAGAGCGTAGTATTAGACTATGTAACTCTTTATTTTAAAGATGATAGATATAGAACAGGCACAAAACAACAATAAAGTATGAGAGCAAAAACACAATAAATATTCTTTTTATATATCCCTTTAAGATATATACTTACGGTGGGGAAAAAAAAAGGTATTTTTGGACAAGGAAATAAACCATTATTAGCTACACTTAAACTATCCTACTTGAATATAAAAAGTTTAGGATTAGACACTTCTATAGCTAATGAGACCACCTATAGATATATTGCATTCAATAAAAGCCATAATCCTACATTTTTTGACATGACTAATATAACATTGTTGTAACACAACAAGTATTCGTAAACAATTCTCTTGTTTGAACAGACAGCTCTACTACTTTGTCAGCATGACTTACTGAAGTGTTATTAAAACCTAAGTATACACCTCCAAAAATAAAATATGCAGACAGACAACAAACTCTAACAACAGCTTCTGTATTGTCTACACATGTTAACAGCGCTTAACAGTTTAATTCATGAAACACATGCACCTGAAGGATTACACAGTTCTTGGTTTCTATGCTCATCAGAAGTGGCTCTGATGTTCAAGGTTTTGAGGTAGGTATTAAAACTTAGAAACATTTAGCAACTTCACCCATTTCCAGAGTTACAAAGAAAAACTGGTCAGCTGCGTTCATTCAAATATTTAAGGCTGGATAAACGAAAAACATGCTGAAACATTAACATTCATTTACCAATTGAAGCTGAAAGCATTTGTTTCATGTGAGCTTCTATGACAGAAGTATCTTTGGAACTGTAAGATCCAAGTTCAGGATAAAAATTGGCTGCAATGTCCTCAGGAGGATTATGCCTTCCCTTTGGATAATTGTTTGCAATTTTGGGGTCCCAATGTGGCAACAAAGGATGGTTCCAGTGAATGTATTTACCATCAAACTGTGGATTCCCAAACCAGCTATAATAGAATATATGGAAGTTATAATTAGGAGAAGACAGATCTCCTTCCAACTTGTTCACAGGAGGCATGGATGCTTTCATAGTATTGACCACACCAGCATGCATGTTACTGATCTGTGTTACAGTATCTTCTTGAACCCTATTCAGTGAACTTCTTTTACTCTCTAAGAGCTCTGTCCGTTGCTGAAGCTCAGGTAATAAACCAAGTCCAAATGGGTCCCCAAAGCCAGCTCTGTCAGGTCTCAGAGTCTTCAAAGCCATCATTATGGAGCAAATAAACAAAATAAAAAGCAACAAAATGATGCATGTTCTTCTGCGAAATCTTGCCATGATGTCATACTTCAGAATCCACTAAAATCCATCCAATTTTGGCAGCAACTGATAAAACACAAATATTTTGAAGTCAGATTTCTTATTGTCTAGTAGTACAGTTTTTTCATAAGGTTTCTACATAATGGAAATATTAGAAGACAATTATGTGACACTTATACACTGTATTAATGTCAAGTTTTGTCAAAGGATTAAAGTGAAGAAGAATGATCAAAAACACGTGTTTGAGAATGTGTGTCAAAGATTAAAGTTTACCACTGAAGAAACCCAGATTTTAATAAATACCTTACTTTTGAACTTTGTTCTTTTCTTAAATTAATTAAATCCCATGAAATCTTGGTTATATTATTTCAGAAGTCTTCTATTTTGGTAAGTCTGATCAAAATAGCAAAGAAAGTAAGAAAAAAGCAGAAACCATGACAACAGAGTAATGTAAAAGAGAAAAAAATCAAATTGAGATAGTGAACAAAGTACAGTTTATGTTCAGAATACAGGTTTGTTATCACTACCTACTGAATGGCACAACCACCTCTTGTTAAGTTAAGGAACTTCACTGACTGAACATTTTTGGCCAATTAAGCTTCATACTGTAGAGTTTCCCAGCTTTTCATACCTAAAATTCAGTGTGTTGAACTACAAAAAAATCAGCATAGCTTTAAAGATGTACTTCAGGCAGAAAGCCTACAATCAGCTGCTGTAACCTGTTAGTACAGTATCACAGCTGCATGGCACTTCATGCACAATTTCTGGATTAAGTTCAAAGTAAAACCAATAGTGCACAACATTTCAGCACTGGAGGGAAGGGAACGAAAAGCATTATAACAAAATTCCTGATTACCTTGTAAATAATTCCCATTCAACATTAAACAGAAGAGAGAATGTGATGAAAAAAGCTCAGGTCACCACATAATGGTGTGGAACATGATTAAGCACAAAACTGGAAGATTTTAGAAAAAAAAACCTGATTCAGCTGTCATTAGATATAGCACAGAAGTGATTTTGTATTTCTGTAACTGACGTCCAAATAGTAGAATATGACTTTAAAGTATCAAGGTATACACAGGTCATTTTTACATGCAAACTATCTCATCTTATTTTCCTACCGTTACTTAATATTATTAACACATATTAACATTTAGCTTCAGTAGTAACCATGCTTGTCACTACTTCTAGAGTCACAAATTTAGATAAAGAATTTTAGAATGTTTCTTTAACAACATAGTTTGAGTAGGATTACCGCTATGACACTGCCAAAAAGTCTTGCTTTTGCTTCCAGTGTTTTTTCCACTGATCCTCCTCTCCGTGCCCTGTTATCTCTCGTACACTGGTTTCAAAGTATGGTCACACACATGCTCAAGGAGCAAAATCATGTTAACATTTCAAAAACAGACAAGAAAAAGAGATACCCTTTTATTTTGTTAGAGATTTGACTCAGCTGAACAAGTACAACAGCAGTAATGCCAACAGGTGAGTAAACAGCATAGACAGAAGAAGGAAAAAAAGAAAATGAAGCAGCACAACTGCATTGTGAAAACATACCCTTTGTTACCATCAGGGAAAATGATTTTCCAGCATATATGCTTATAGTACTTCACATTTTTCATTTAACAGACTTCATGTCACTTTACATCAAATTACAGACTTCTTTTTATACAGCATGCAATCCATCCCTAGGCCTTAAAATTTTAGCAGATTTTATTTGGAATTTTCTCTTACTAATAAATTAACTTTAGAAAGACTTGCACGCTACTTCTGCACTGTTTCTGAGATATTTTCAATCTTACTTACAATGTACATGAAATGTTACCATTTCAATCTAACTTACCGTGCTGCACCTCAGAATTTTAAGTTTTCTAAAGGATCAGTTTTTTTTTTTTAAATTACTTTTTCCACAACAGAAACAATGTCATTTTGTCATTTAAGTGCTTAAATGTATTAACGCATTTCAGTTTTTCAACCCAGATGATACTGACAGAAAACACATTTACTTTCTTCTCCAATTATTATTTTATCCCCCCTCCTCAGTAAAGAGATTTCACATCACTAGAGATTACAGTCTGTAACTAGAACATTTGCAAGCTCTTTCTCCTTTACTGAGAAAGCAGTCCTTTCTTTCTTTGCTTGACATAGCAGCTACAAAACTTCTGCCCCACCGTATCAAGATTTCACTATCATGAAGTGTTACTTCTGATGTGTCAGGAACTGGTGTTAGTTCTCCACATTGTTGTTCCAATAAATATTTTTTCCAATAAAATATTTACAATTCAAGTATATGAAGAAGCAAGCAGCATACATGCTAACTTTACTTCCATCAGAAGTTTTTGATTTGACTGGCAACAGGACAGACCCTGGTCTATCACAGTGCTTTATGAACCTCTAATGTACTCATCTAGAGGCATAAAACTGAAGAGCAAAAGTTCTAACATGTCTACACGATATCTACCCTAACAGATGGTGTTCTGCATGCCAGTTGCAATGTCAAGGTTCAGCACTGACATACACACTTGTACTTTAACAATTGCATTCAAGACCTAAACAGTAACAGGCAAATAGTGCTCACCAGCACTACTGCCGCAGCAAAGATGTAAACATCAGCAAATATCAAAGCTTCACAGCTAAGGTCTCCAAACTTCACTTTTGCTATAAATTCCCAGCTGCAAGAACCTGAAAACTCTGACAGAATAGATCAGACTTAAGCAAAGTTGAAGTCCGTAGGCCTTCAAAGACTTCAATGCTTTGCAAACAGGCCACCCTTGATCTTGCGCTGCATTCCGGGACCACAGTGCAAATAAGCACCTGGCAGCATCACTTCAGGTGCCAAGTGACTGATCAGGTGAGGTTCAGTATGCTTCCCTAGGGGTTGCTAAGGTCTGCACAACTCGTATTTACATAACATCTTCCAATCTGGAGAACACAAAAAGCAACAGAGGTTGACTTGCGAGGCCTTCCTTCTAACAGCCTTAGCACTCGTTCCAGTAATATACAAACAGAGTATTTCTCCAAAAAAAAGTCAGCACGACAGTGTTTAGAGGTTTTCTCAAAGAAAAAAAGAAAAAAAAAAAAAAAAAGCAAAAAAAAAAAAAAAAAAAAAGCAAGCACTGGAAAACCATTGAGGATAAGAGACGACATCACACATAGCAAGCATTTCATAACTGCGCTTACAGCCTACGGGGATACAGCGGGTGATGATGTACCGGCTCCCCAACACCGCCAGGCCGCCCATCAGCAGCTGCAGGGTGAGGGCAGCCCCGAGGAGAGCCCCGGCCCGGCCCGGCTCCTCACATCCTCTCCCCCGCTCCGGGGGCCGGCAGCGCCCTCGCCGCGCTGCTCACCACCCAGCCCAGGTGCCGCGGAGAAGCGGCCGCTACTCACCGGCCCGACGCAGGAGGACCCGCCGCGGAGGGCGGGCTCATACCGCCGGGAGCCGGGCCAGCGCCTCTCCGCAGGGATACGCATGCCCAAGTGGACGCGCGTGCGCTGCGGCAGGACGGGGCGGAGGTTGGGACTGGTGTGCCGCCCGACGGTTGTCGCTGGGAGCTGGGTTGGGAGGGGTCTCAACGATCGTCTACTTCTAACTTCCTGCCGTGGGCTGGGCTGCCACCTTTTTTTTTTTTTTCTTGTTTTTTTCTTTCCCCAGAACTGTGAACGTAAACTGCAAAAGCTCTCATAGTGAGATTACAAAACAAATCAATGAAAAAACAGATTCTCGTTTTCCCCCGTAAGCATCAGAGGCTTGTCGAGCAGAGCTGTTGCTGATAGCACTCAGACTGACTCAACACAAATTTTCTCTTCAATGAAGAGTGTAGTATCCCCAGACAATAAAAGCATTTATTCTCTTTGCCTCCTGAAAAGTGACTGTAATGAGTTTGATCCCCGTGGTGCAGTTTGATTTTATTTTTTAATAACCTCTCTAAGCCCTTTGAGAAATGGAGCAGAAACGGTGACTAGGATTGCAGCTGCATTGGAATCAATAGCAGAATCCTCATTGATTTCACCTGGAAAGAGTTGGAATGAGCGTCTCACTGTGCCAGCAGAAACAAGATGAACCAATTCAAGTGCTCTTGCAGTCCTCCTTGCAGTCTGAGAAAATAGGCAGGCAGAATTGTTGCATGGTATTTTCTCTATGCTGAGTGCTCCAATAGGAAATGCATTTGCAGTAATGTGTATTTCTAGTACTACTTCCTGCAAGCATCTGAAGAATTTCATTAACAGGCAATATATTGTAATACATCAAGAATGCTGTGCTTTAATGATAAATGAGTTTGTATATCAGTAGACTGAAGATTGAAACTTGAACATTTGATATCCATATAATTGACTGACTGGCTCACAGATTTTTTTTTTTACCTGAAATTTCTTGCTTGCTTCTTCCTTCTTTTTTCCTTTCTCTTTCTTTCTTTCTTTCTTTCTTTTTTTTTTTTTTTTTTTCTTTTCTTTTTTCTTTTTTTTCTCCCCTATTCTTTCTTTCCTCCTTTCTTCAAAAGATAAGATACTGCTAGGATGCCATTCATTAATATTTTATAGAGGACATAACTAACTTTCACTTGTACTTTACAGTGTGGAAGAACTACTACAGAACTAATTATATTTATTTGAAAATTAAATAGTTAGCTTAAGAATTGAGAAGTAAATATGAATCCTTGTTTGATTATTTCACCTGCAAAGGAATAAATCTATTCTTTTCATCAGATAAAAAAAATCATAAATGTGTTTCTTCTGATATTGTTGTGTTACGTCTGAACGTTTTTGCTGAATCTACTGGTTCAGACTTTTAAAGAAACAAACCCATTATATCATACAATTTCCTCAAAGCCTTTCTGCATAGTAATGAAGTTAAATAATCATGCTAGCTGATGTGGGACAAGGGAGATTAATGTGCCCGTGGTTATTCACTTGATTATTTTTCAATGTTATATATCTTTTACATTCTTAAGTTTGCGCTTGCTTGTTTTTCTTGTTAGATCAAGGTGTACCTTTCTCTCATCTACCCACAATGTATGTACTTATCTTTCCTGTAGCTTTCATAATTTTTTCTTCCATTATATCCTCTGTCTTCTCACTTATTCTTTATGCTGTAATAGCATGTTCTGGCTTTGGAGCAAACACAAAAGGAGGAATAGCCTGTGCTTGTAGCCTTTTCATCTATTCTTAATAGTTCTATCTGTTATAAAATCATGAAACTCTCACAGTTCAGTACTCATCAGGCCCTCGGAATAGCCACCTTTTATCCTAGAAGACACTGAATTGTCAGCTGTAAGTATGAAAAAATACCCTTGGGAACAGCAAGAAGCCGGTATCTGGAAACCTTATTGTTGTATCACAGTTCATTTAGTGACACCACAAACGAGGTTTTTAATTTCTAAAATCCAGTGAAACCTAATGTATTACTGAAATTTAATTCTGAGTTATATTCCCAGATAGGAGAGAACAGTGTACAGAGTACAGAGGTTACTATGTGTACATGTGGAACATGTATTCCTTTTCATTCTTTTTTTCTTGATACTGGAAATGTGGAGTCAGTGTTCTATTCCTGCTGCTTCACTCCTGATGCTGGTCTTTGCATCTGATAACACTGGATCCTTAGGGACATAGCGAGCAAAAAAAATTTATTTTGGTCATTGTTCATACTTCAGAGCTCCTTGTTTGGTTTCATCAGTCTCTAGCAGAAGCTAAGGACAACCTTGCTTTTGTGCCAAAAAGGTAGCATAGTGTGGGTCCTTTTTTTTTCTCAACCGTTCAACAGCAGCAGAAATGCTATAATATTTTGGACAGATTTTGGATTTGGATAGCTTTATTCATGCTTGTTACAAGTTTGAAGAGGTAATTTTGAAACGACCATGGATGACTATAAATCCTTAAGCTGCAGATATAAGCAAGTCCTATTAAAAATCATAGTCTTTCTCTCTCATGAGACTAATCCTGGGATTTACAGAATGGTTCACTACACAGTTTTATTTATTAGAGATTTGTTCCAGCCTTTCAGAAATTAAACTATTCTTTACATATAGAAGTTATGTCAAATTCAAAAGTAATTTTCAAATGTAGAAAATCCATGTTTCTCCTTAGAAAACTATGCATATTTTTTAATTTGTGTTGTAAAATTAATAACTACTGGGATAAGCTAGAAAAAAACTAATGATCTACAGCCACTGTAAAGATACTGCATTCTCCTCAGCAGTTTCATGCATATTTTTATGTCTATGCAATGTTTATAAGTAGAAATTTCCTGTACTGACATGGAGAAATAGTACTAATATAGCTAAAAATTATACAGTGTCAAAATGTTGTATACCTTGCTGATACAGAAATGCCTACTGAGCTGGGTGCACAGTGCTATTGCATATATTGGAATTGCATGGAGACTATAAACTGAGCAAAGATTACAGAAAGTATGTTGCATGTTGGTTAGGCTAGCACGTATTTGGATGTATTTTTTTTTTCTTTCATTCATTCCTCATTAGGTTCTAAGGCCTTTTCTGGAAAGACAGTCATTTAGCAAGCTGCTTTTAACTCTTTTGTTAGAAGTAAAGTTACATAGTATTTTAGGAGAAAAAACGTACATATTTTTTTCTCTGCTGATGAAGGAAGTGATACAGGAAGAGATACAGGAAGAATATACATTTTGTTTCCAAAATTTTCTTTGTTGTAGTTATCAATGTGTGGACGTATTTGATCCAGAGTCTCATCTCCTTCAAAAATTAGAAGTCTCATTTGTGCAAACAAATTAAATAAACTGATGAAACAATGAGGTTTTCTTCTTTGGGTAGAAAATTTAATTGAACCTTGATAATATTATGCACTGATTACTAATTTATTTCTTTATCAGCAACTGCAGCCAAAGAGATAGTTCTTCAAGGGAAGATGATACAAAGATTATAATGTTTCAGTTATAGGGTAATACATGCTTTAAAAATACCTGAGGTAGGTGATGTTGTGAAGCAAAGAACCCAAGACAAGGGGAGTGTGTTAAAAATGGCACATTCTTAGGTCTCTGCCTATTCCATGAAAACATCAATCTGAACTCAGATTGTTTCAGTACAACCTAAGCATTCTTAATTGATTTAATGCCAATAGAGAAAAATATTTCAATTACTAAGAGTAATCAAGCATTCCATTTGCTAGCTGTGCATTAATGCATACAGACTTTCAGAAGGAAGAAGTAGTGTTCTCATTGATATACAAAGTAATGTATATATAGAATGCAAATGCATTTATTTCCTTTATTGTACCTCTAGACAAGGCTATACTCTTACATTTTAAGAGGCCCTATTTAAGAGTGCCCACTAACTTTACTTTTAAATTGGCTTAGCGATTTTGATTTGTGGTCAGGATATCTCTGCAGGGTAAGATAATTTCCTCTGATCTTGTAAAGAAATCAGCAAAGATCACATGACTACTGCAGAGTTAAACTACCACCAGTGTTCTAAGTGAGACTCAAAGGGATCAGATGCTTAATTGCTGTACGCTCCTAAGTATTAGTAGTACTACTTTTTTTTTTGGAGGAGCGGAACATCAGTGATGAAAACGTACTAATATCAATGTGCTGTTTGCAATTCTAGCTTTTTAGTTGCTTTTAATTTAGGAATAAATGAATTATCCACGTATGGCAAAGGAAGATGATGGTAGTGTCTTCCAGTGGGATGCAGGTAAGAGCAATAGCAGGTAACAAACAGGGAAAATTGGTTTACTGCTTCCAACAACCAAGAGCAGCTCAAGAGAAGTGCAGAGAAATACTACCCTCTTGGTTGCTAACCCTTAAAAGAGGGTGAGGAGGGGTGGATCCAGGCTCTATTCCTTCTAGTCATTCAGATTTATTGCTTGTCCCTGAGCATCCTGGGTTAGTCACTCCTCCTCACCTGGTGTTCAGCCATTGGTTTGGGCTGTGACCTGGCATTTCTGCTGCACATCCATAAATTTCGTGCTGAAATCTAACTGTAATTTAAAGGCTACTACTTCTTCATTTTTGCTTCTAGGTACATTATTAATCTGTAGTTAAATAAACTGCAAAAAAATGTTGGTTTATTTGTTTTTTAAGGATTACTGGCTGAGTTAAATTGTTGTATTACCCAGGAAAAAAATTATTACAAGCTTCAATTTGTAGTCATATATTAAACAAAAATGTTGGCTCAAGATAAGTTGA